AATTGGAATATAATTACGACCACAGCTTAATTAGCGAATACTACTAATAATTTTCCTCTTTAATTACCGACATTTGTTGAAATAGAAGATTCAAAAACCGAGGGAGTTGTCTTATTTAGAGCCCGTTTGGCTAAGCTTATTTAAAACATCTTATAAGCTCCTACATCTGATAAGATGTTTTAGGAGCTGATAAGCTGTTAGATCTTATTTTAAAAATTATTTTTTAAGGTGTTTGGATATGTAGCTTATAAGTTACTTTTATTTTTATAAGTTGTTCAGGTGTTTGGAAATAAAAGAGCTGTTTATCGCCATAATGACAAAAAAGTACATGACGTCATTATAAGTTTATAACTGTTAAATTTATTTGACTCAAATACTTTTATTCCTAAAATATTATTATAATATTTACAAATTATTTTTTCAAATAAAAATAATAATATTAAATTATATATTAAATAAACTAAATGATTTTTTATGTATTTTGATATGATATATTTGACTATTTTTTAAAATAAATGAAGTGTAATAAAATATTTTAATGAAACGTGAAAGTTTTACTTTTTTGTCCCATTAATATATTAATATAAAATAAAGGTTGTAAAAGAAATATAATTTTTTTTGATGGACAAAAGAAATATAATTTATTATTGTGATAATAAGAATATTCGGATATTTTTATATACATAAAATATAAATAGAGAATATTTTTTTTTTACTATTATGATAATTATATTTTAATTAAGTATTAATCTTGATTACAAGAATACGTTGTTTTGATAAAATATAAATGTTATTAGTATTCATGTAATAAAATAAAATATTTGAGGGCAATTTTGTATTTTAAGTCTTTTAGTAAAGAAGCAAATAAGATCTTAAAGAAAAAAGGTGGGGTAGAGGTACTTTTAAAAAAACATCTTATAAGCTCCCTAACAGCTTATTTTTGAAAAAAATAAGATCTTTTGTAATTTTTTTACCAAACACTTTTTAACAACTTATAAGCTCTTAAACATCTTATAAGATGTTTTTAGGAGCTTATAAGCTTAGCCAAACAGGCTCTTAACTATATGGATCTCGTATAGCTGTCAAAATAGATTATAAAATTTGGCATTATGTTACACTAAACGCCTGTTAACTCCAATTAAACTTTAATTAATTGTAATTAGCATAAGGGTTAAAAGGCCCTCAAATAATTGTTAAGCATGTGTTTTGTATTATGCTTTGTATGTTACTATCACTCCATCACTAGCCTCAAGTATTATATTGGCTTTGATTACTTTTTCCCCTAAGTGTTTCTACACAAGTTGGCATATGTAGATTAATATAGGTACAAGAAAGATTAATTAATAATTAATGACTCATTAATCATAGACAAACAAAAATATTAAATAAAAAAAAATATGTTCTTGAATCTTGAGCTGTACTTATTTTACTAAATATATGCCTCAATCCTGCAACTTAGTAAAAGTCTCCTCTTTAGAAGAAAATAATAATAATAATATTGAAGATTATTAAACAAACTGTTTTTTTGACATCTCATCAGCTTGTAATTAAATTAATTAATATTTTATTTATTTTAGCAATTTTTTCCATCGTTGAATTAATGCATTCTGTGCAAGAACATACACACAAGGTGAAAAAGCAATGGAGAAGGAGCCAAGGAAGCTGGTTTTTCGTCTAACTCCCTGGATTTTCTTGCTTATTCTACCTTTGATCTATATCGATCTTTTATGGGGTAACAATATTCGAATCGAGCAACGTACGGTTGCTTTTTGCTACATGTTTAATTATTTCATCATCATCATTGTATATATCAATATTGAACTCAATGAGTTTGTAATTATTTAATTTTGTTTCGATTTTTTCGGAACTTGCAGGATTTCATTATATCACCGGTCCCGAAACTAAATTCCTTAGCAGCAGTAGAAGAGATATCACGAACGCAGTCGCAAAACAAGAATCACTCGATTATCTTCTTTCGAGATTAGTGAAAGGTAATTTAGTTAGCTTCCAAATTTCGTGTAATTAATGAAAATTTTCTTTTTATTCATTATATATAATATGTAATTATATAAAATGTAACAGATGAAGATCAGAAGAGTTTCAAAGCAACAGGCTTTGCTTGCAACACTGAAATATACTCCAAACACTGCGTAGCTAATAAACCTCTGCGAATCGACACAACAACAATGTCGATTTTCGTTCCCGATAATCGATCCGTACAAGAGGAAACGGTGATCCGTCCTTACGCACGACAAGAAGACGAAGTTCTTCTCCAAAGAGTTACTCCGGTGAAAATACTGCAGGGGAACATCACCGCGCTGCCGGCCTGCGAGTACACACACGAATCTCCGGCGGTGGTGTTCTCGACGAGCGGCTTCATCGGAAACGTGTTCCACGAAATCAACGAGATACTCATCCCTCTCTTCATCACCACCAGGCAGTTCAAATCCAGGGCTGTGTTCGTCGTAGAGGATTACCGCCCGTCGTTTATGAAAAAGTACGGCGACGCAATTTCCAGGCTAACGAAACACGAAATCGTGAATCCGTCGCTGAATCGGAGCGTCCACTGCTTCCCCGGAGCGGTAGTCGGCCTGAAATTCCACGGCCACCTCTCCCTGCACCCCGCCGAAATCCCGACGGGGCAATCGATGAAGCAATTCCGGCAGTTCCTCAGGGAATCGCTGTCCCTGAAGTACAGCCACGTGTCACAGATCGGAACTCCGACGGTGATGTTCCTATCGCGGAGAACAACGAGAAGGATCATCAACGAAGACGACGTCGTTTCCATGATTAGGGATTTAGGGTTCCGAGTAATCGTCGTCGCCAGATCGAAGGTCATATCGAACTTAAACGTGTTCTCCAGTATGATAAACTCGTGCAGCGTGTTCGTCGGAGCGCACGGCGCGGGGTTGACGAACGAGCTGTTCCTCCCCGACGGGGCGGTGATGGTGCAGGTGGACCTAATCGGGCTGGAATGGGCGGCGGCGACGTATTACGGTAACCCGGCCCGAGAAATGGGGGTCCGTTATTTGAGGTACAAAATTGAACCGGAGGAAAGCTCGTTGATAAAGATATTCGGAAGCAGAAACCATTCGGCTATTACCGACCCGAAAAAGTTACCGGTTCAAGCCGGAAAGGAGGTTTATCTGAACGGTCAGAATGTAAGAATTAATATTGACCGGTTCAGGGAGACCATGGTTGAAGCCATGAGTCTTGTTACTGGAGATTCGCCTCTGTAGTAAGTGAGAGAAAAAACTTAATTCTTTTTTTTTTTTTCATTTTATTTTTTAAATTATTATTTTTCTTTATATAATATTATAACTGTACAAACAAACTATGGAGTTTTCAGAATCATGGTTTTGGGGTATTTTTGTAATTCGTTATAATGAAATTTGTTCGACCCCGATATTAAGACAAGTTGTGCATTTTTTTCCGTCTAGTATTGCGAAGACAATTTGAATATCATTAACATGACTTGTGCGCATGCTTGCATAGTTAACATTTGACCCGGCCCGATCAGCAATGTGGTTTACGAGCTATTGCATGAGAGTGTTTGTTTATTCGGGTGATAAAAATAAGTCTTTAACTCGAAGAGATTAACTTTATCCACTCCATTGATTTAGTCAAATGAAGCAAAGGGTTGTAATGCAATTTTCTCAATATATTTAAATTAAGACTCGAAGTCAAATGAACTAACTGTCAGTAATATTATTAGGAGACTGGTTAGTACTAATTGTAGGTACACAAATAGTATTTTTATTAATTTATATTTGATATATTCTTTATCAAATTTCATAATTTTTTTTAGCAGCAACAATTGAAAAAAAAAAAAAAACGGAATAATATCAAAATATTCGAATTTCGTTTACAGAGGGGCGAAGGAAAAAAAATTAATGATACCCATAAAATCCAACAAGTATATCAAGCGCTACCAGTTGTTCTATAACTAATTGGTGGTAACTGTAAGGTGTATTCAACAAGTGCTCATTGCAACTTGAATCATGTCAGATTTTGATTTCAAATAAGATGCTTAAACAATAATTAATAACATTAAACAACTCTTGGGTTATTATTTACCTCAAGACTTGCTCTTACCTCCAACTCAGTAGACACATATATGATATATTGTAGTACTAATTTACATTAATTAATAAACGAATCAAGGATTAATTAAGGAAATCGAGGAAGAGACCGAAAACCTAGAATGAGTTGACTAATTTGTTTACCTAAACACCACTGTTCTTTCCCATGGAGTGAAACAGCAACTTCTGTATGGAGAAGTGTAGGAGAAGGCTGCTCCTAGGTGCAACTCCCGTAACTTTCTTTCTCGTCATCCTATTGCTTTTCGCCTGTTTTTTCGTCGGCAACATTCTTCCGTTTCGTCACTTATCCAGTCCGCAAGCTGTAGAGCAGCAAAAGCCATTCGATTCCCTTCTAGCAAGACTTGTCCGAGGTTAGTTTCTTTGTCTGGTTAAACTGCTACTTATTGTTCTTTCAGACCAACAACACTGAACTCGTTCGTTTATGTTCGTTTCTTGTCAGGACGAGATCGAAGAAACCTAGAGACAACAGGCTTCGCCTGCGACAAAGATGAGAACTCTCTTGTCTGTATATCGAATCAACCCGTAATAATCGACACCCGCAACAACATTACAGTTCACCTTTCTTCAGCTAGTTCTGAGCAAAAAGAAACCAATATTAAGCCGTACGCTCTGCAAAAAGACAAGTACCTTCTCCAATACATCTCACCGGTCAAAATCTTGCATGGAAAAAAACCCGTTTGCCAATACAATGACGACGTTCCAGCTGTAATCTTCTCATCCGGCATATCGAGGAACTTATTCCATGAATTCAACGACATCATAATCCCACTTTATATCACAGTTAACCACTTCCAATCACGCGTGCTTCTAATCCTAGAGGATTACAATCCCTCTTTCGTGACCAAATACAGCAAGATTCTATCCCGACTCTCCAGCTATCCTGTAATGGACCCCGCATCGAACCGAAGCCTGCATTGCTTCCCAGGAGTGATTGTCGGCCTCAAGTACCACGACAATCTAGCTTTGAATGGAGAATACTCGATGCCCATCTTCCGGAAGTTTCTAGAAGAAACGTACGATCTCAAGTTCAAGCACGTTTCCCAGATCAAGAAACCCACAATAGTCCTCATGTCTCGCGAGAAAACGAGGATATTCCTCAACGAAGTCAACATGGTCAACATGATGAAACGGCTCGGATTCAGAGTTGTGATCGCCCGAGAGGATGAGGCGGCTGACCTGGACAAATTCGCCGCCACTGTCAACTCGTGTGGGGTTTTGGTGGGGGCCCACGGGGCGGGGCTCACGAACGAGCTGTTCCTGCCAGCTGGCGCGGTCGTGGTCCAGGTGGAGCCGCTGGGCCTCGAATGGGCTTCTTCCCGTTATTACGGCGACCCGGCCCGTGCGATGGGCTTGCGTTACCTACGGTACGAGATTGAACCGGAGGAGAGCTCGCTGGTGGAAATGTACGGAAGGCATCACTCTGTTGTAACAGATCCGGAGTCGGTTTACGCAAAGGGGTACCGAGAAGTTCGTGCTGTGTATCTTCAACAGCAAAATGTGAGGGTTAATATAGTCAGGTTTAGGAAGACAATATTCGAAGCACTTCTATTGGTTAAGACTTAAAACAAAGCGTTTAGCTTTTTATTATTGCTGTTATCAACCATGAATCGATAATCTTACATGTGGGTAGTTTGAGTACTGAATGAAAAGTAGTTGTATAACTGGATTCAATGATCCATTTATATGATATAAATTAACAACTCTAGCCACAAGTCCAATACTAGAATACTTATTTGTACTTGGAGTCCTTTAGAGCAAGAAGCATTGCAGAAGCTGCTGAGTTATCTGCCTCTTTTAGTCGTGACTTTTCGTTACCAATCACAAAAAGAGTACCTTCACTGATTTCAATTTTGACGGAGCTTAAATATCTCTTCTCGTGAGCACGACCAACTTCTCTCTCGATTCTGCACAAACATTTGTGACAGGGATCAAAGATCTAACGTAATGCGAAATAAAGATGAATTAAAAATATATATTCTCATCTTTCACAACTAACTTTTTGCTAAATCGTAAGGAGAAAACAACAAGAGGGGAAAAAACACCAACTTAACGCAAGAAGAAAAAGGCTTACTTGTAATTAGGTTTAGGCCATTTCTTCTTGCCACACAGCTCGTGCAGTTTCTGTTTTGCTCCTTCAATTTCATTGTCCACGTTGAGTTGGTCCGCCACATTCATTATCTCATCAGATTCATAGGACAACTTCAGCAGAGCAGCCTTTGCAGCATGAAGTTTTGCATTCTCTTTTTGCTCAGAAGAAGCCGACTCAACAAATTGCCCGTCAACATATACACTTGCAATATTTCTCTCTCCTTCTCTCCGATACCTTATTTCAACTTTCTTCCCATCCTTTTGACATAGTTCAAAGAGCATTGTAACGGGTTGTGGTTGTTCTTCCAGCTCATCAAGCATAATAATAGGCTCTAGAAGGTCACTAAAGATCTAAACAAAAAACAGAAGTAAACTTATAAGCAACTTAAGCCCGAAATTACACTTTTAATTTGAATATATAATGAATTTTTTATATTTTTCTTTCAATACAATTTTAGCCAATTATCACCACATAGATCATACAATATAATATAATAAACATGTTTAACAATTTAGACAAGAAAACGCAGATAGAACTAACCATCCACATATCCTTCAAATCAAAGTTACAATCAACATATACAGCAGCTGCCACCGATTCCACAATGTCTGCGAGAACTTTTGGTGCTTTAGTAGAGCCCCCGTAAATTTCTGCTTCACCCTCCTGCTCTACCGCCGTCACAAATTCCGCTACCTACAACACAAGCAATGAATGTGGCAAAAGGGACACGATTTCGATAGAGTTCAAACTGGAAAAGTTGGCTTAGTTTCCCGATAAGCACTTGATAATACATCTCAATAAATGGAATAATTCTTAGGTCCACCTAGCGCAATTCACTACCTCGTTACCACCAAAAGTGTGTAGTACACTCGATATACGTAAGAATTTTTAGCCATTATTGAACCAAGTGACATTATCCAATGTAATGTTTTATATCAATAGTCGAGTGCTTATTAGATAACTCATCCAACTTCACCAATTTTCAACTCTAGCAAAGCCATGCCCAAAAGAAGCCACAAATTGAAATTTAAATCAATTATAAAACCATGAGATATTTGAATACTGTGCACAAGAATCGTATAACTATAAGGCCTCGTTTGGTTGGGAGGATTAGCCATGAGTTATGACTAGTTAAATAATTGGACTTTGTTTGATGTTTGCTAAACCCAATAATTTTCCAGGTCGACCCGGAAATATTATTTTATCATGTCCTATGTTTCCTATGTTTCCTTCTAGGCCTCGTTTGGTTGCGACCTGGCAAGTTATTGAGGATACCAAACATCAAATAAAATCCTATTATTTAGTTAATCATGGCTAATCTCCCAACCAAATGAGGCCTTAAGAGATTACTTATTGGACCTCCCATAATCCAATGTTACAATTGGATTTAGATACGATTATTTAGTCTAATTTTGGCTAAATTTATCTTATCAACCAAACGAGGCCTAAGAATATTATCAAATTGGGGAAGCCTTTTGGTTCTATCTGCCACATCCGAAGAAAATCGACAAATTCAGAATACAGAGATTTAAAGAGAAAGAGCGGATACATTTTTCCCAAGCGCGGCCACGTTGTGGCGGACGTATTTGTAGAGCTGGTGGCGGACGGCAACGCGCGCGAGCTTCTCGGTGCTGATGTTGGCGGCGCGTACGAGCGAGAGCTTCCCCGGGTCGACGTCGGGGTAGCGGAGGTAAACGTAATTGGAGACGGCCAATCCGAGAGCGGCGTCGCCGACGAACTCGAGGCGCTGGTAGGAGGCGGAGCCGGTGTAGGAGGAGTGAGTCAAGGCCTCTTCGAGAAGCTTCTTGTTCCTGAAGCTGTACCTGAGAAGATTCTCCACCGCTCTCACCGACGCATCCATATCCGAGATTTCTCGATTCGCCTCAACCTCCTTCCGCGGAGGCGTGAGCCTGCGTTTCTTCGTCGGTGTAATCACCGGCGGCAGCATGTTCGAGGTCTCAATTTTAAAATAGGATTTTATTTTTCTGTTTTCTTTTAACGGTGTTGAAAAGAGTGTTCCTCTCTTTTGATAAAGTTGAGGAGAGTTGTGTCAGAATATATATACAATAATAATTAATGCAATATTCGTTTTATTATTTTTTTGGAAAAAATTAATACCAAAACGGCAGTTTAAAACAAGAGTGTGTAATTACTAATTAACACAATTTGCATCTTGTAATATTTCCAATTGGTCGAAAATTAATTACCTAATATTGGCAAAAAAAGTAATTAATTAAAACGATTTGATATGATAAGAAAACATTTCAAACATTTGACCATTAATATTAATTTCAATTAGACCTTGTTCTAGTACATGAAAATTCATAACAAGAGAGAATAATAATCATAATACCCATCGAAATATTATTGGATTTTGAAGATAAAAATAAATAAATAAATAAAATAACTAACAAAATTGCCGGCCAAAGTAACAAAATCCAGTCATACTAGCATCTGAAGCAACTCTCGAACGTGGCGAAGCTAAACCGTATACGACTTATTCAAATTTGAACTAATTGACCATCATATAATCGAAGCCACCGCCCGCTTGAGCTATACGACCCCCTTGGTTGATATTAACAAACAATTGTTGTAACCATCTTCTTATCGTGGGATCTTCCTGCAAACAAAATTCCCCGTATCACCGTCGATCAACAAAAAAAATGATCATTATTTCACATCACGAAAAATGAAACTAAACTAACACCTACATGAAAGCAGACGTTAAACGTTGTATCTTTAAGCTTCTCCGGCACATTATTCCTAAGGACATCACAAGCTCTGTCAAAAAAAAAATATAAAATATTAAAGAAAAATCAAACCATTGATGTATATACACATAAATTTAAATAAAGGAAGATGAGTCGAAAACAAAATTTGAGATACCTCGGATTATCAGACAATCGAAGGTAGCACCTGACAATGTGCTTTAATAGACGAGTAGAAGTCGAAGGGTGGTCAGCAAGAGAATTAACCATGATTGTCAACACCCTACTTAGAGCAAAGAACCTCTCTGCTGAGACACACATGTACTCTAAGCCGATATCATCTAGCAAAATCTTCTGCACAATAAATGTTGCTACCTGCCAACAATCTTTCTCCATATAAAAAAAATATTTAAATAATTAAATTGAGACAAATCAATCAAATGGGGCGGTATCTAAAATGGGATGCCTATGCCCAAAAACTCCGAGTTCTAATGCTGCATTAGATGAAATCATCTAAATTTTGCAACATCTGGTTCTGTTAAAAAGAAAACGATACAAAATCAACATCGACATGAAGAAAACATCATTTTTAATACAGCTGCGAAAAGCAAGCAATGATTTATGAACTTTGATACATAGGTGACGTGATTGTAAAAATTGCTTCGAAAAAACTCAACTGTTTTGGAAAGTTCACTTCCCAACTCCATTGTCCGCAAGCACAAGGGGATAATCTCAGTAGAGAGAAGAAAATTGATAACTTCCATGTCATCAGACTGAGAACCGAAATCGGAACCACAGACCTGTAGATAGACTAATCAGTTTGTAATGAAGAAAAGCAAAACCCCCCAAAAATTAAAAGAAACGGAAAACGAGGAGTAACGCTAACATAGGAACACATCAATGCACTACTGCGTAAGCTAAACATCATCTTGGTCGGATGTATGACATTAAAACGACCTTATAAAGCATATAAAACTCAGTCTTGGTTTGTACCAAGCAAATTAGAAATTTGAATATAAATGAAAATAATAGTGGTACAAAACTTTGTTCTAATTCTGGGAACAGAACAAAATACATCTGTGACGATTAATCAACAAATTGAAGTGCTTGTAGCAAGTTTTCAATTCAAAAGCAAATTCCCGTTCACTTTTCAGCCTCGTATCTTTCCTAGTTAGGTCCTTGTATTTTATGATTAGTTTCTTGTTTGGTTGTTTCCTTTACAAATTCTATGTATCCATCTATTAAAGAGATTTGGAAATTGCATATAGGATGCATATCATAAAGACATTATCGACACGACATTGGTTGTTTATCGAATTCAATCACAATCATCCATGGGAAGGAGAGATGAGAGAAGTACAGAAACTAATAAGCATAACGAGACAAGGAAGCTAGTTATATACATAGCTGACATTATTTCCAATAGATAATAGAGAGCATAAGAGGCAATGAGTTCCTTAAACAGCCTAAGAGGCAAAGCTTACTTTTTGAGAATAATATCAGAAAGTTAAATTGATGAAGAGGGCATACCTTAACCAAGGCACCAATGACTCCTAAACTCGTAAGCCTCAAGTACTCAAAGGACCTATTTTTGCAGGTTGTATTAAGGAAGTGATACAGGTACAGAGGGATGTGGGCTGCAGCAGGAAAACATCAGATCAAAGGCCCCATTTTTAACGTGCTCACCATATATATATATTTAAATCCAGAAAAGACAACAGTTCCATTGACCTCAATTTTACACGTACAACAATGAGAACTATAGAAACTGGAAAATATCAAACAACAAAGACTGAAGTGGAAAGATAAAATCTCATCAGTAATAGTCAAACGGAAGCAAACATAAACTGCTGAAGGACCTTCCAGGCCCCTCCTATCGTGAAAAGTGTCTGAAATTGAAATTCCCTATATAGATACACAAAGAAAACATAGATACAGAAAGAAAACATATACAGATCCATATAATAGAACCACAAAAAATACCATTGAGGAACGACTTTCTAGTATCCGGGTGCGAGGCCACACACTGCAAAACATTAAAATTGTTATGTTAACTCCAACACAAAGGGGAATATTTTTGCATGTTCTGGTCATAAGTTAATTCACTTACTTCTATACAGATGAACAGAACCAAATTTACTAATAATCAAATTTCCAGGAGCTAATATTTTTCTGTTGTGGAAGAGAGTTTAGCAAAAACAAATGAAAAAAAAATGAAGAAGCACGTAGACATAAACATGCCACTAAAATATCCACGTGCAAACAGAACATATATAAGAAGCTACTCATCACTGCAGCAACATTAACGCAAACCAACAGTACGTAAATTCAGTCTCAGTTATACAATGAAAAATGTGTACTTGGTTACATAATATGTAAACAGAAACAAAATCATAAAGAAAGGCAACTATAATAGTTTATTACAGTGGCAAACAAAGTACATTACGATAAACCATCTCATCTACAGTTATAAACTCCCATAACCAGCCAATAAGAAAACCAGAGTTAAATTGCACAAACAAAAAAAATGATACCTGAAGAAGAGCAAGTGCATTGCAAACTCGGTTTGATTGTGTAGAAGATAGGTTTGGCGGCGATAAAACTGGGTAAACAGCAACTATTTCCTGCAAGAGGTCATAAAGATAAAAAATCAAAGTCATACTAATATACCCCGGGACGTAAAATATGCTCAAAATATACGATGAATGAAATAAGGCAATCAGAGCTTAAACACGAACCTGCAGAAGAATAGCCATTATACCATAGGAGTTCCACATGATCGGAGCTAAATCTTGAAACATTTCCCTCTTCTACTTGAACAGAAACAAAACAGTGCGTTAAGACACGGAAAAACAATTTACCAAATGATTAACAAGCAAGGTGAGGCCACGGCCCCCGGAGCACACTTACTTAAAATTTTAAATAGAAAAATCTCAAAACAAATAAATAAATCAAAAAAATCAATACTGAAAAACACAGATAAGAAATGAATTAGGAAATAACGAAAATAAAATGATTGAAAACCTTAGAAAGTTCGTTTAGGGCTTTTTCCCGGAGATCGGGATCGTAGAGGTCTACAATAAGCTGCTCCACCGATTTAGGTTTCCGCTCGGGGGCAACAATGGTGCTGCCGGCCTCAAAGGGGACGGCTTTCGTGTTCAGAGACGGATGAAAGTTTGCCATTTATATTCTCTCTCAGGCCTTTTCGCGCCTTCCGATTTCCGTTTCGAGGATTCTGTAGAGGTTAAAACTGCGGGATATAAGACGTGTTTCGGAGAGGTCCGGCGATGATCACCGGCTGTATGTGCGGTTTTCGCCACGCGCCGCCGCCTGTAAGCAGTAACGTCTTTGCGAATTGATTCGATTCTGCAATGGCAAATGCAAATCAATGTAATGTAACCGTGGAGGACACGATTTTCCCACCGCGAAAATTTCTGCACTTGTGGGCGGTGTTTGCCAAAAGTTTTGCCGAATTTAGAAATTGTTAATTGCGAGGAAAACGTTACATGTATTTTTGTAGTTAAATCAATTTTAGTGTACTCTGGAACAGTGCACATCATACTTTTTTAAGTTTTGTTTACATTTAGCTCCATAATTCATGCAAAATATCTAGAATGCCCTCACTTTGTATTATTATTACAACTACATTTCTTTTCCAATTAGACAACACTACTCATAAAGATGTCGTATTGGCGAACACGTTTTCAACGTATTTATTTCCCTCAAAATATTTTTCAAGTATTGTTTATTTCACCAAAGCACATTTTCCAAAAACGTATTGCTACAAGAGCAACTTTAAATTCGAAATCATTGTAAGTTAAAACATTATGAATTCCCGTAGGAAAATCGAGGAGAAATCGATGGCAAAAAAAGACCGAAAGACCAAAGAAAAAGAAAGAATAGAAGAATGACAAATTCTTGTTACAGTAGCCGATGCGTACCATATTTTGACGGTTCAATCTCTTGTTCTTAACATATTAATGTTGAAAAGTAGTTCAACTTGTAGGCTTCGAACGTAATTTACTAGCTGAAAAGTTGAAAGAACATGCAGAAAATAACGATCGTTTAGATGACATTTGTAGATTGAACACACTGTTAGTTTTTAATTGTCTTTTATTCTCAAATTCAAGCAAGACAAGCGAAAAATTTATATTTCAGTATCTTGATAATTTACAAAATTTTGGATAGCATGCATACAGCATGGCTGCCTACAATTATATTCTAGAAGAAATGAGGACGTACATAATGGTGGGGCGACTTATTTTAGCGGATGCAACATTGCGTTGCTGGCATGGTTGCATGAGAGGATCCCTTCTTCGGGGGAACGACGGTGTATGGATAAATTTCCTCGATTTCTTCGATAGAGCGACACAATGATCCCATGTGACGAGCATCAAACTCAGCTAGAGTTTCATAAAAAAAAAATTATTGTTATTATTATTTTTTTTTCTTTCGCCTTTTTGAAAAAGGAGGATACTTGCTGATTCCCCAATTCACAGTGTCTCGAACCCATGGCCAAATAGTCATAGGTGCTTACCAACAGGCTACCTTATCTTGACAGTTTTATAAAATCACAAGGATGAAAGTGAAGAAATTCTATACATTCCCTGATGACAGAGAAACTTAAAGATACCATGAATATATCTACCACCTCTAGGGGTCAACTGATTGCATATTTGAAAAAGCAAATTGAAGACAGAGACAAAGTGGACACGGAGAATGAAGAAGATGAGGCTAGGGGGAACGAAGAAGTCACAACAACGTAAACTCAATATATACTCTATATTGGCTGGCTGAATATATGACGTAAAAGCTTATTTTTAGAATTATTTTTTGAATAGTGAGCTTATATTGTTTTTACTCATTATAATATTAAATAAAAAGATGGGGCATAAGTATTTTTTTAAAAATATCTTATTTACTCTCTTGCAACTTATTTTTTTAAAATTTAAAATATTTTTTAAAAGAAATCATCAAACACTTTTAAAGATATAATGAAATGCTATTTGCGGTCACAAAATTGCTATTCGCGGTTTATAACAAAATCACCCAAAACTTTTCAAAATATAAAAAAACCCCCCAAAACTGCAAATAGCAAAAAAAAACAAAAAACAAATTCGAAAATTCGAAATCAAGCTTGAAGAATGGTTGGGCTTCGATTTTTTGATGTAATTTCTACTCTTTTATGTGTAATATGCATTGGGTAGGTCGATTACGGAACCAATTTCATGTTAAAAAGCCCTACAAATCGATTTGTAGGGCTTTTTTTTTTCGCAAAAAAATGTTCGAACGCCCATCTTGGGCGTTCGAACATTATAAAAAAAAGAAAAAAAAAAGAAAAAACTGCACTGAACGCCCAACTCGGGCGCCCAAATGCAGCTTGCACCCCCAACTTGGGCGTGCACTGCATGAATGGACGCCCAAGTTGGGCTTTTACGCGTTTTGGGGGTTTGTTTGGATTTTTTTGAGATGTTTTGGGGTTTTAGTGAAATAAAGTATTTTTTTGGGGGTTTTGTTAGAAACCGCAAATAGCAATTTTCAAACCGCAAAAATCAATTCCCAAGATATATCATCTTATAAGCACCAAAATACCATCCAATAAGAATTAGGACATCAAAATAATTCCTAACAAAGACTAAAAAGGAATTAGGACATCAATCCTACTAAAGACTAAAATACCCCTTCATATCCAGTTTACTCCATAATTCATCCCAAAATCGTAATTTAACCAAGATTGCGCATTGACCTTAATTTTAACAAATATGGTCTGAGGTATCGAAGCCGTATAGCAATGAACCCAGGAGAGCTTCCTCTGTAGTGTGATCTCAGGCCAAAAGAAGCAAAGGAATAATCGTAAACTTAAAAGAGTAAGCGCTGTGCAAGAAAATCCAGATGAGTACACAACCAGGACTACTTATCACCATACCACTGTACAATTAAAACATATTACAAAATAAAATGGAATACGGTCAATAAGTAATGCAGAAACAACTAAATCCAGCACTTGCATCATTACCAAACCGTTGAAGAAAATCCAGTGCTCCCTAAATTCTTCATACTGGTTCGATTTTTCATCATCAATCACAGCTAAAGATGAACAGCAAAAGAAAATGATTTCTTCAGAGTTCAAACAGGAAATGAAAATTTCATGGGATATGTACTAATCAACTTAATTTACATAGTACGAAGACAGAAATGCATAATGATAAAAGATTTTATTGCACCCTTCAGTACAGAGAAATGTCCGAACTCCCGACTAGTATTGGAGTTCGTCATGAAAGAAGTAATAAATTAACATTTACTATAATAATAGCTGTCCTGTCAACTGTTTTCAAGATATAAACTGCTCAAAGAGTTGCAACGTTTTCATAACTAACAAAGCATCAACAATAATTATTCACTTAGCCAACTTAACGATTGCAGTTGCAGAGGAAGTTATCTTCCAAGGAAAGAGATAATATTAAATAAACAGAAGCATTGAGCATCGAGATCTGCATTCTATTTCCCTTTCAGAATGGTAACGGTATATTGCTTTTTGATTCTTTTACAATTTCTCCTCTTTACTGTTCCTTTTTTTTTCTTTTTGGATGGGTGGAGATGCAATGTACTCAGAGATAATTATCGTACCTTCAATGATATAAAAAAACAACAAACCTGTACTTTCGGTGATTAAACACCCATGAGCAATCATAATTCTGCAATAACAAAATTACACTCTCATTCATTTGTCATACTGCCAAAATTAACTGAAAATAACATAAATTATCTGAGAAGTCGAGTGTGAACCCTACCACTAACATAGGGATCCAAAGAGTAAACTTATCCCAGCTAAAACTTTCTCTTCTTTTATTTTGTAATTTTGAGTTGCCAAACTGGAATAATGGACAAGAAATTTTAGTGGGTACCAACATTACCAAATAAAAAGATAACTCTGCAGAATTTTTATGAAGATATTAACAAATATTATACTTCATAAAGCTAGCAAGAAAAAAAGAAACTTACGTTTTATATCTTTTATTCAAGCAATAAACAGAACATGAGTCGTGACAAGTAAGATAACCCGATGGAACACTAAAATGGTGAAGGTCTCAGATATCTGGCAAGTAAGAAAAATACCATCCAGTGTTTTCTATCATATATCACATATAAATAATTACAATAATAATTTAGCTCTCAACAAAAAACAAATAAATAAATAAATAAATAAATAAATAAAAAGAAAAGAAAAGGAGAATTATACCTGAGGAGGCAGGAGAACTGGGAAAGCATTTGAAAGAAAATCTGGACCGATCGTACGAACATCCTGAGAAAAATATCAACAATTTACAATGAGCTTTCAGACCAAGTAATGATTTAAGAAATTAAGATCATGTATGCACATAAATTAGAAATCCTAGAGTGGAATATAGAGATTAAATTAAAGCAACCACATTTACAGATATTATGATCTGCAGAAATAAATAAATAAATTTAGATGAACCGTATATTTCACGTGTACCATAAAGCAACTGGATGGGGCTTGCGCATTAATTAAATATGAGATGAGGTTTATTTCCCACGCATAACAAAACCGTAAATTTCAAACTAGAGAATTAACAGATAAACAAATCGTATAAGGGCTTATACCTAGGCCTCGTTTGCTAGGTTCGATTGGCCTTGATGTATTACTAATCAAGGCCATTTCGTAGTATGGCAGAGACTTATGATTTATTATTGGGCCACGACATAATCAACCAACTTGTTTGATAATAGGTCAAGCCAATAGGACTTGATCCGGTATCCACTATAATGATGTTTCTTATATTACAAACGAAAATGGCAAATATAACCCTGCATTTGGTAACACCAATTATTACGAGGGGACAAATTTGGAAAATAAATATTAATCACATCTCAAACTCAATTCACCAAATAAAAAATATGATTAGAATTCACAACTTCTAATACATGCAACCAAACACAAATATAGGTACCAGTACTTGTAATACATGAGTACGTATCCAATTGAATCACATATTCCGTATTAAATGGAGCCCTAATAAATTGGATACATGAAGTTCCCAAAAAGCAATAATCAAGAAATGATATTATTACACCTATTTACCTTATATAGCTAATTTCTTCGTTTTGGCAGTGGTTTATAATTGCCCACGGCATAAATAGCAGATGCTAGATGTCGCCAGGACAAGTGATAACTGACATTGAACTATACCTCAAGAGTAACATTTATAAAACTAATCCATAATCATATCTCAAATATAACAAGAAAATAATCCTATTGAAAGTAAGGACTATTATAGTCACCACTCTCATATAGATGTAAAAACATGAAACAGCATATTAGGATGAAAATTACCTCCATGGATCACAGTCCACCATTCACTACACTCGAAAAGTTAACCGAATAGAACTAACTGCTCGCCAGAAGAAAATTAGTACAAGCGTTGTCACGACTTCTCGTAATTGCTTCAACGATCTGCATTTTCCAGAAGAGCAATAAATGAGTACCGTCATTAAATTATTAAGAGCAATGCTAGGCGTAATCAAATTTCTAGATCATTAAGAGCACGTGTACGTCATGCAGTATGCGATAATACATAACGTATCCATAATAAATTATATAGAACTTTTTGGACTAGAGACTGTAGATTATCCGGGAAATAATGCTAGGTGCACATTTTACTCCACAAAATCCTCACACGTGGCGTCAAAAAATCAAGTTCCAATATCTATTTGACACAGCTGACTTGACATCAAGGATAGAAATTAATGAGGAAATTGTACTGTGTTTTTTGCTTGAATAAAAGGATATAATTTATTTGAAAAAAACTTGGTTGTTGGCAGAAAACATAAATTAAAACAATTTTGAATTTGAAGCTACAGGGTCCAAGTACAATAAGAATCTAACACAGCAGCATTTTTCTTGCTGGTGATCTTTCTTGTGCAGGAAAAGCAGCAAACCCAGAAATATTTGGAGAAGGAAAAAGAGCGAAGAACTAGTAATCACAACAAATTAACAGAAGGAGATGCAAGCCATAAGGGGTGACAATCACCATAGTTAGAATAGATAATAAGTTTATTGAATAATTTCATTATTATTTAGAGATGGGAAAAAGAGAGTGCAAAAAGATAGAAACGAATATCATACATGTTATCTACCTAAATCTCCTAATTCTTATCTCAATACACCCTCTCAAGTATGAGCATAAATATCAAATGTTAAAATAGGAAATCCAGGGCCAGGTAATAATTTTATTGAATGGTCCTATTCTTATATAGGGATGGGAAAATAGAGTAAAAATAAAAAAAGGGCTCCGAGAAAGTATAAATAAATCTCCTAAATACAATCTAACAATCATCTTTAGTAATATATGTAAATCTAACGGTATATCTGCTTATTCCCACTTCCTAGTAAGGAACTTTCTAATACTAAATCCAACACGGCTCAAAACTAATGGATTTTAAACATGAAAAAGCACTCATACTGAAACATACTTCTAGTTTAGATCATTTCATCTAGGGTAATAAATTTGAGTCATAATTGGAACTTCAACCAAATAAACCATGTTTAGAAAGAAAGAAAAATAAGCCGGTTTAAAGTTGATATGAAATTAGTCCTCACAACATATCAAAGACACTAAGAAAATTTTGTCATTGTTAGCTAATATAATTATGTTTTTAGTTTGATACCTGTGATGGCTATATAAATATTCATGCATCCTTTTGGATTTAAACAGTAAAACCACTTAATTCATGCAAATAATATGAAATAAAACTGATAATTAAACAATGGTTCGGTCAAGCAAGGAGGAAATAGCAACTGCATCCTTATCACAGATTCTCCCACCTAGATGGGTAAGGAACCGGAGGTCCTCGAACATTGTCCAGCAGCTGTTGTAGCAACATTCTTGCCCTTTGTTCTTCCTAGATATATGCAGAGAATAAAGATAAACACTAAAATATAAAAACCAATTTCTGATTATTTCTGTTGGAAAAAAAGATACTCACACGAAGACAGTGATCGAATGTGCCATCGGTAAGCGCCTTCGGGAAGGGATTTCTCATTGTCCAGTGACTTCTGCAAGAATATTTTGACTAAAGCCTTAAAAAAATTAATGGAAGTTACTGGTGATATTAATATTAACATTAAATGATTATACTCTTTTAAGACTTTAGTGCAAACTGGAGGTACTGATATTAGAGTCAGGCAAAATGAAAGGTCCTGAGTTGGCACCCCACCGCCACCCATTTCAAATATTTCAAGTGCAAGATTTCAGGTGTAATTTGTCTCCACTTGAGGGGGCTTATTGGAGCGTATTGAAGATATTACTATTAAATGATTCACTTCACTAACAGCTTAAACTTTAGGTTCAGGTGGTTTACATTAAGTATATGGTTCGTACCTTTCATCATCGAGGAAACGATGATAACACCTAATGACATGATTTAACAGCTGAGCAGAGGGCGCTTCAGCGAGTAAAGCAACCACATTTCCCAGTGCATGACATACAGGAAATAACCGCTTCGGCAGATGACAAATATGTTGGAAATAGTCATTGTTTAGCAAAAGCTTTTCCACAATGAATGCCGCGAACTGCCAGTAGTAACAATTTTGATCAGAAAAACATGAAGAAAATCGAGCAAAATATCAAAGACAAGGTTTTACTATGGCCTGCCGCGGACTTAAAACTTATCACATCTATATATTATAAGGGAACCTCAAAGACTTGGTGACAATTAGAATTCATTTACACCATCATGAAATGCCTTGAATTGGTATTAGTCTAGATGCAGCAAAATCAGCCTGTTAGATCAGCACATTCGATCTAATAAGTACCTTGTATCAGAATTAAACAATGGAGACTCATATCTGAACTGCACACTGAAGCAGATGCTACAAATTTTTTTGGGGTAATTCATTGGTAATTTTTGGGTTTAGCTATTTGGTGAATATCTCATCACTAAGAATGTGTGTTGGGGTAGTTATTTTTGGGATACTTCAATATAATATTGTAAAACATGGGACCTGAATTTATCTTTTTAACCTGTTGTAGGCAAGTGTGGGCAGAAACAAGAATCAAAATACCCATTTTTTTCCATAGATCTAATGTAAAACACAATAAAAACAGTTTAAGCCAATGGGGTAATTTTAGGAAGACACTCAACTGGTTTTGACATAACACTTCCACACTGTAAGATTTGAAGGCACAGCGGCATTATTTCTGAGTAGAGAATGCAATCGATCACTTCTGTGTCTGGAACCTGGTACAGAGGAAAGTGACACGGTCATTAGTATAAGGTGTCAAAGAGCATAAAGACCATAAAGATTCAAAGCAACCAAGAAATAGAGAAGGAAAGGATGAAGAACTAGTAGCAAAGACTGTCCCTCCAAAGAAAACTGCAGCCAACTCATGCACCAAAAAAGAAAAGGACACGTGCATGAAAGATAAACGAGAACTACCGTAATAACTATGAAAAAGTGCAAGGTCTATATAAGCACTAGTACCCTAAGAAATATATGAACAATTAATCTAAAAATGTCAAAGAACATCTTCTGATTATATATAAACTATTCAATCTTAAAATATCGAGACCAATATGAAAAATGTATAAACTATTAGTATTAGAATAATCATCCTACGAGAAATGTATAAGATATTGAAGAACGTAAACCTTCAAAAAAAATGACCGCACAGATAAAAATACCTTCACCAGAGAACACATGGCATCCAAAGTAGCAAGCCTCAGGTGCTCAAAAGGCTCGGATAAGGAATCATCAATTAGGTCGAGGATCGCGCATAAATAATATGGTATGCGTGCTGCAAATATGTCCGGAAATTTTACATATCAGCTATAAACAACTTGAACTTGTACTCAAATCTCTATTCAGATGCATAAAAAGTATAGATAAATGAACCAACAAAAGTACCTTCAGCAAATAAAGGCCTAGTAGTTGGGTGAGAGGTAATACACTGCACCATCCAGATCAAACAGAAGAAATGAGGAATTGAAATAAGTCGAGTTTAGGACAGTAAGTGTACAATACTTAGTCAACTACCACTTGAGTATTTCAACCTTCATTGGCAAACAGAACACTCTTGTTCGGATTATTAGATTACAACATACAAAAATAATGTAAACTGAAAATAATAATATGTTTATGCAAACCACCATTGATCAAAATGTAAAATGAAATATGATACTGTACCTATTAAATCAGAAGAAATATCAGAGAAATAAATTCTGAATACGAAGAATAAATTTTGAGTAAGGATTTCAAAGGAGAAATATCAAACCTGAAGAAGTACAAGCACATTGCACGCTCTGTAAGATTGTTCTGGCGATAGGCATGGAGGAGACAAGAACGGATAGATGTCAAGCAGTTCCTTCAGGAAATGAAGATAAATAACATCAGCCATAAGCAACAATACAGAAGCATTGCAGAATTGTCAAGACATGAAAAGCAAGGAAAATATTTGATAAACTAGAAGAAAATTTTAGAGGGTTCTGCGAAAAAGTTTCCTGTCCAAATTTTAATGCCCTAATAGTTAAAACAGTGTGCAGGGAAATGTAGACAACAATACATGGACTTCCGACTTTTTGTCAAATATAATAAAAACATGATACGCTTTTCATTGTGCACGTATAAAACTTGCTTAAATGTATAACACATTAAGGCCTTGTTTTGGAACTAGGATTGGACTTGATAGACAACATAATCAAGTTTGGCCAAATGTTTGGGTTTTAGGTTTCAAGCCCATGATTGAAAAAAAAAAGGAAAAAAACACTACCCAGGTATTTAGCACAAGATCAACCCCTATTACAACACAATCCTACTTTCATCTTCTGATTTCATTAAATTGAATAAGCATGTGTGCACCCATATTTTAAAATTAATGCTAATAACTAATCTACAAACTAGGTGTGTTTTAAACATTTTATAAATAGTCCAATGTAATCTTTATTCCCGAACAATAGATAGTCATATATTACAATATCCATGAATAATGTAATCCTAACCAATCTAACCAATCTTAACAATCATATCAACATTCCCAAACGAGTCCCAAAGGGGAAGGTGAAATTAGCATGTTTCAAGAATGATTTTATGATAATCCCAGCGTATATCCTTACTGAGAGATCTGACAAACGATAAGTAGATGAATGTTTAACAAAAACCTCTTTACCTGAAAAAGTATAGCTATTGTGCCAAACGAAAACCATAGGTAAGGAGCAAGATCTTGGAACACAATTCTCTTCTGTTATAATAGAAAGAGGAACTTTGTTAATCATACAAGCAAATTGAATAGTTTACTTGAGTAGAATTTTTTATTAAAAGATGTATTACAATCCAGAACTACAAACATGGGTAGCATTGAAATAAAAAATTAAACAACTTCAGAAAGGTAGCTCTACACTTGATGCAACTGCAATCTGGCTAACTTGGAAGAATGAAAAACGGGATTTTCCAGGATCAAATTGCTTTTAGTCAATGTAAAGAAATTCAGTTATCGAGCTTCATCTTACCGGTTTCGTTTCAAATAAGCTCAATAAATAAATAAGCTAGCGATCTCGTTTCATATAAGCTACATAAATACCTGTTAATTCATATTGTGAAGCAAATTCTCGGTCAACACATACTGTCATATCAAGTGGCTTGTAAAGCTTGTACCGTAAGCAAGCTAAATTATCGAGCTGACTAGAAAAATGATAACAAAACTTAAATTTCACAAGCACTAAATTTTGCAGCAAAAATTTTGCAACCAAGTTAATTATGTCACAAAAAGGAACGCCAAAAGAAATATATGACATTGCATTTAAGACATGTTAACACAAAGTGGTTCATAAAATATTACTTCTAGCCTATAGGATGCTTGCCTAAAATTTTAATTCGTTATAAATATTTATATTCCTAGTCATATCAAAGACATTAAGAAAATAGCATCTGCACTATCAAGGAAAGTTTTTAATTCAAGTAAATAGTCATTAAGGGATTGCTTGGTCATAATTACAAGAGACATTTAACCCTTAGTACATTTACTTTCAATCATCATGCATAGATCTCGTGAATGTGAATCTGTCAGAACCGATATGCTCTTCGGCAGATGAGGCACAAAGAAATGCAAATCAGTTAAATCAGTTCAGAATTCTTCTATTTTATAAAAGTAAAGAAAAGAAAGAAAAATAAGCCAATACAGTAGGTCACACCAAAGACAAGTTCCATAGTCAAAAATTGTTCACAAACAAATATACCAAGCTGGAACCAATGACCACGGTCAGACACGAAATATATCTAGATTACTTAAATCAGTCGGACCAAATCAATATATGACGCAATATGTAGTCAAATATAACTAGATTACATAATCTTCATTTACGGTCAAAATCCCTAAAAAAATCTAAGTTCTTCACTTCCAACCGAGGTTTATGCCCGATCCCGATAGCATATGCAAATTGTGGAATGAAACAAATACTTGATTTACATGGAGTATGAACTGGTAATACTACATTTGCAAAACAAATAATCCCTTAAGCACTCAATTTGT